CCCCAGATGCCTCTGACAGAGCTGTAGTCCACATATTAGCTTTAGTTTGACCCTGACCTTAGTGAAGATGTACACATAGTGGACGGAAATTGAAAATCACATCTTGGCTTATACTGTCAGCTGGTATTTTGTGGGGATATGAGGATGACAGTGAAGACAGAAGCAGCGATCATTCAATTGAATCTTCCCGTTCACACAGCATTGAGCAATGATCGTACATTTCTGTCAGGTGATATGAAGATAAAGTAAATAGTCACACTGTATAAAGTTGTTCATCACACTGACAGGAACAGGCTGACGGTGAGGGAACGTTAGTCTCCTGACTCATTGTTATTATAGTGTCACTACCAGACAAATACAAAACAGTACAAACAGAAAATTATTCATGAAATCAATAAATTTGGGGACTTGACCAAAGAATTAGAAAAATAGGTAAAAAAAAAAAATTCTCAGTTTGAGATTGATTTTATTAATGACACGGAGGCGAGTATTATACTATCTCTTTCTTACTTTATTCCTCAGCAGCAAAGAGAAAAAATAGCTGAAAGAGAAAATATGTATAATATGAATAATATATAACAGATTCAACCAACTCTGCCTAGTAACAGGGGCAGCCAATCAGCTTATAGGAACAGTCCATAAATGCCTTGCTGTATACTTCCACTTCCTCTTTCTTTGCTGCTGTTCTCAGACCAGCTAAGTATAATTTTACCTCCTTATGTTGCTCTGTTATTTTGATATTGCTGACTATTGTGCCTGATGAGGCTATTTGATTTTGGTTTTCATTGCTTTCTGCAAAATTGTTTATTCATTTATTTGTTTTCTGTATTTGTTTTTTGCTCCTTTTAAGTTTTTTCCTGTCTGTGTCTCTCTCCCCCTTTTCTGGTGACCGGGTTCCATGCCTGTGCTGGAAGTTTTATGGACACAGGCCGGGACCCGCGACTACCAGGGGACAGAGTCTGCTGGAGCGTCTCCGCTCCTTGTTTTACCCCTCCTCCAATGGCTGGGGAGCACGTTACCACTGTGCCGATCAGTCTCTCCTCGCACCTGCTAGTGCGAGGGAGTTCCCAGCCGCATGTGCTACACGCGCTCCCCAGCCATTGGCGGGGGAGGTGTCCTGTTGGTCCGCGGCGCACGTGGCTGGGACCCCTCGACGGCACGGCTCCTCATACCTCTCCCTTTTCCGTTTTTTCTCCTAAGGTATTATCAGTGGGTTACTCAACCCCCTTTGTTATTCCTTTGTGTCAGTTTAGATTAGTAGTAGGTTAATTTTCTACTTACTTATTGTATTCTGGGCATATATAGACACTTTCTCTCTGTACTTCACCCACTTTGGCATATATTGGTATATACTGTGGGATATTCCACACTGCCTCAGTGATGCAGGCTAGAGCTGATGGGGCTGACAGCCCCAACTTCTCCATTATGGACTCTATGCACACCCAGGCCACCGAGGAGACCGGCCTTACTCCCTCTCAGGAGTTCCAAGCCCTAATTGATTCTACCATGTAGAGAGCCCTGGCCTCGGCCATGGGAGCAATGTCTTCATCCCTATCCCATACTATACAACAGGCATTAGTACAGCCTTTGGCCCCTGCTCTAATGCCCACCCCCCACCCTACGCAACAGACTAAGCACGTCTCCCCAGGTGTGACACTGGTACAACCTGCCCCGACTGACATGCCTATAGCCATCCAAGATGGTGCGCTACCACGCAAGAGAGCCGCTGGCCGGGCAAAATCGGCCAGAAAGTAGAAAATGGTGTGTGCCCATGTTAATGAAGGATCAGACTCCGATCTGAGTGGGGAGACGGGCTAGGATGTCCCTGATTACGCCTCTTATGAGGAAGAGGGCTCCGACGCTGAGGCGGGGTCCGATGCTGCGGCGTTACCTCTGAATGGGGGGCAAGGCATATGTGATCCGCGGGGTTACCCCCTGTTCGATCCAGATGACCTTCGCCATCCTCGCTCGGCGGAATGGGACCCACCCGAGCACATAGCTAGCTATCTAGCTTTGCGGATGTGCGCTCCTCTGTCCAAAGAGGGGCGCAGCAAATTTTGGGCTGAATGCCCAAGGCCCTGGAAACCCAGAAAGGGACTGAAGTTCTCACTCCACAATTGCCAGGACAAAATTTTGGACACCCTGGGACCCGCTGCCAAGCTTTATGAGCTCTTGGAGGCATCTAAGGCAGGGGGTATCCCCCTTAATTTTGATGCACCTTTACCGTCCTAGATAAGGCCCAGTCCAACTTAAAACAAGTTTTGGGCCAAAAGGTTTTCCAAGGGGCCGGGAGGTATAGGAGCCGTCTGCCCAGTCCCATGGAGCTCGAGGTCCCTCACGGACTCACAGAGGTTCCTCTGCTGCCCCTCAAGCCTACCAGGAATACAAGCCCGCTCCCTCGTACAGATGTCCTTATGGTAAGTACCCCCAAATGTGTTTTTTCCCATGCAAGCGTAGGGGGCAGACTAGTTTGTTTATCGATATGTGGGGCATGATTACCATGGGTGTGTGGGTTTTGAATACGGTCGGGGGTTTCTGCCTAGATCTGTTGCCCCCCCCCTTTCCAGGCATGTATACCACAGGAACTGAGATTGCCGGAAGAACAGTCCGGGTTGATTACCGCGGAAATTGCGGAACTTCATACCAAACAGGCAATACAGGAAATCCCGTACGAGACCTTGGGTTTCTTAAGCAATTTGTTCCTCGTGGCCAAGAAAGGCAGAGGAGTTCAACCGGTCATAAATCTCAGACGCCTCAACGAATTTCTCCGCTACCAACACGATGGAAGGCATTCATTGCCTCAGGGACCTGCTCCGACAAGGGGACTGGATGGTCAGGCTGGACCTCAAAGATGCCTATTTGACCATACCAATGGCAGAAGAACACTGGGATTTATTGCACTTTACGTGGCAAGGACGTCGGTGGAGGTTTACCTGTCTGCCCTTCGGTCTATCTTCAGTTCCCTGGTGCTTCACGAAGGTAATGAAGCTGGTAGTGGCGTTCCTCAGGGCTCGAGGTGTCTGTATGATTATTTACCTGGACGACAGCCTGATTATGTCTTCGTCCCCCGAACAGCTCCTACGCCATCTGGACTGGACGGTGAGTCTTCTGGAGGATTTAGGGTTCCTCATAAATTGGGAAAAATCCATGGTGACCCCGGTACAAAAGATAGAATTCCTGGGATTCGAAGTCGACTCGATCGCCCAATTCTTGTTCCTTCCAGAGGCCAAATTAAAGGCTATGAAGAAGGAAATAAGGCATACACTACGGGCCACCTTTATCTCCATACGACAACTGGCGTGAGTGATAAGTCTCTTGGCCTCATCGATTCAGGCAATTTTTCCAGGACCCCTGCACTATCGGGCCCTGCAACGATTGAAGGGATCCCATCTTCGGTTGGGCAGTTCGTACGAAAGCAAACTGAGACTGGACAGGGATTACAGAGAGGAACTGCTATGGTGGTTGGACCACATGGAGGCGTGGAATAGCCGAGCAATCCTCAGATCCGCTCCAGACGTGGTGATAGAATCAGATGCCAGCCTACATGGTTGGGGTGCTCGCTGTGGAAATATTTCCACAGGTGGCAGATGGTCCGAAGTCGAGTCACGGCTACACATAAACTGTCTGGAACTGCTGGCGGGATCCTTCGCCATTCGCAGCCTTTCTCCAACACTGGGATATTGCTGCATTCTTCTACGTATGGACAACGTGTCCGCGGTCAGATATATAAATCATCTGGGTGGCACAAAATCGAAACAACTAGTGAACTTGGCAAAGGACTTCAGGCAATATTGCCTCCACAGCGCAGTGTCGGTTACTGCTGAACACATCCCGGTTCTGGACAACGAATGGGCAGATTGGAATTCGCGCTACTTGAAAGACTCAGGGGATTGGCATCTGCTCCCTTCGACCTTTCGACAGCTGGATCGGTTATGGGGCCCATTGGAACTGGATCTGTTCGCATCCAGACTAAACTCCCAACTGCCCCATTACTTCAGTTGGAGACCGGACCCATCGGCCATGGCGGTGGATGCTTTCCTGCAAACGTGGCCTCGGGGTCGTCACTTTGCGTTTCTCCATTCAATTTGAACTCTCGGACACTGGCGTACCTGTCCAGGCAAAATTGTACATTGGTGATCGTAGTTCCCCTATGGCAGACTCAACCTTGGTTCCCTCGTCTCCTGGAGATGACGGTGGATTTCCCACGGATGATTGCAATGCGGCCAGATGTGCTTCTGGATCTGGATGGGAACTCGCACGGATTAGTGGATCAGGGCCTGCTCCAGCTCACGGCTTGGTTGATTTCAGGGGACCCTGGTCTGTCGCAGACGTTCTGCCAGCAACTACAAGACTCCTGGAGAGTGCCTGGGCACCAGGAACCAGAACAGTTTACAAATCCGCATGGCGCGTGTGGACTGGCTGGTGCGTGGGAAGGTTGTTGGATCCAATTTCTGCCTCTCTGAATGAGGTGCTCAGTTTTCTGACCACGCTTTTTGAATCAGGTTTGGCCTACCGCACTATCAATGTTTATAGATCGGCCATTTCGGCTGGACATCAAGGGATTGATGGATCGCCGGTTGGACAACGTCCCTTCGTGTGCCGATTGTTGAAGGGTATCCATTTCTCTAGATCCCCGAGATCCAGATAGTCCTCGTTTTGGGATGTTAACATAGTACTTTGCTTCCTGGAGTCGTGGCCCCTTAATGAAGAGCTCTCGCTGAAACAGTTGTCCTGGAAGTTGGTTATGCGCCTGTGTCTACTTTCATGCAAGAGAGTTTCGGATGTCAGAGCTTTTGACTGGAACGCGATATCATTCACCCCCGAGGGAGTGTCGTTTACCATCTCAAGAAGGACTAAGATGGCTTCTAAGTCAGTGTCCTTCCCGAGGTGTTCAGTCCGCCCTGCTCTGTGTCCGTTGGCTGGGTTTACCTGGATCGCACTCAACAGTTGAGGTCATTGGACTTGTCTCAACTGTTTATTTCCTTTAGAATGCCGGTTCTACCAGTCTCCTCGACTACGTTGGCTCGTTGGGTTAAGGATCTCCTTTCCGCTGCAGGGATTGATACATCAATTTTTTCAGTCCATTAGGTCAGAGGAGCCATGGCATCCAAAGCTTCTAAGATGGGTTGTCGTCTGCATGATATTTTGAAAGTGGTGGATTGGTCTAGTGAATCTACGTTCCATGATTTCTATTTCTGCCCGATTGACCATGTTTCTTCGTTAGTTGTGGCTCAGCTTTGAACTAGCATAATAGGAGCCTCCGTGTCATTAATAAAATTCCAAGATTTTACTATTTACATGACGTAAAGTCATGATTTTATTAATGACACGGAGGCGAGTATTATTCCCACCCTCCCACCCGGTGGGTATGTTGTTGGGTCTGCAGTTTTGGTTCAATCGGGATGACCTACCTCACGGTAAGTGTCCATTGTTTCACTTGGTGTCCTGGGACACGGTATGGTCTTTATACAGGTATATATGTTATACGCGATATTGGATATCTTTTGTTATAAATGACGAATTTTATGGTATATTACATATAGATCCGGATTTTGGATTTTACCACCTATTTCTCTGTTTTTACATGTTGGCGATTGTTTGTTCCTGATGGGGATATTTATTTGGTTGTTTGGTCTTCAGTTCAGAAGGCAAAGAAGAGGAAGTGGAAGTATACAGCAAGGCATTTATGGACTGTTCCTATAAGCTGATTGGCTGCCCTGTTACTAGGCAGAGTTGGTTGTATCTGTTATATATTATTCAAATTATACATATTTTCTCTTTCAGTTATTTGTTCTCTTTGCTGCTGAGGAATAAAGTAAGAAAGAGATAGCATAATACTCGCCTCCGTGTCATTAATAAAATCATGACTTTACGTTATGTAAATAGTAAAATCTTGGAATTTCTTTACAAGTATTTTGGACTGAAATTTGAAATTTACTGGTCAGTCTCTAACATTTCCCAATAAAGGACTTGTTTCAGTGTTTATCTCAATCATGTATCGACAAATTGGTAATCTCTAAAATGTTTGCTATTGTTACAACATTGACAGCAGTGTCAATGCTATAGAACGTAACATTTAATGACTGGCAATTAGGAGCTGCTGAATGTTTTAACATAAAAAGGAACACTCCAAGTACAATCACCATCTCAGCTCGCTGTTATGGTACCAGGAGTGCCACTCACATTGTAAGGAGTCAAACTGTGTTTCAAAGGTTTGACTTTTTACCTGGGCTCTGTTGGTTTATTCGCTGGGAGTGTGGGAGCTAATCAACCTCAGCCAATGAGCCAAGCCCTACTTAGGAATGTACGGCTCTCGGGAGATTGTAGTGGAAGTGAGGAGCAATGACTGGTGGACCCCAGGTAAAAAGTAAAACAAATGAAACACAGTTTGACACCTTATAATAGGTGGTAGTGGGCTTCAGCGGGTTGTGGTGGGTTATGGTGCTTGGAATGTTCCATTAATAGACGTTAAACGCTAAGGAGCTCCTGGTCTCCATAAAAGATAATTACCACCAGTCACTATCTGACTAAAAGTTATACCTAACTCAGTCATCGAGGTGTAAAAAGAGAAGACAAGTTAATGGTTGCAAACTCTCAGTACATCAAGTATGAAACACATTTATTCAAAATTTATATACATTAAGCACTAAAGCATGTACATGTAGTTTCTAAGGGCTCAGACAAGCAAGTTTCTTGCTCAGACAATTCTAGGTGAAGTGCGTATATACCGACAGAACCTTCTGTAGTGTCTGGTGGAGTTGCTATGGCAATTGAATTGAAAATACAACTTTTTGTCTCAACATATATCCAATTAGCAAAACAGTAAGCATTACATGCTGGTGGTCATGAGTGGATCTGGACACAGGTTATGTCTAGACATTAAATAGCTGGTGTTTATCAACAAGCACGGAAAGTAGCCCTTAATAAATAACTCCGATTCACAGGGTTATTCACCAAAGTGAGAATATAAAGTGAATTCAAAGTAAATTTCAAATGTAAAGGGTTTCGTCAAGCACCATTACAACTACAGCTCGCTGGCCCTGGTTCTCCTGTAGAGGGGTAAACATTTTAGAAATAGTTTACCTACTTACCTGTCACCCTGATGGGCTTAGAGACACTCTCTCCTCCTGGGTGTTGTGCTTCTGGCTGTTGCAGAACCTGGAAAGCCCATCCAATCGCCATTCACTGGCTGAAAGTGTCTGCTACCACTATCAGGCAAGGAATGGCGCATTGTGCAAACAAATATCCAGCCCAGAACACCTCCAGAATCCAAGGGGTTAAATTCGGAATGTGTTGCTTTAACAGGGAAACGTTGGACATTCAGACTCAAGGCACTATAACAACTTCAAATTACTTGGCCAGAATTGCTTTCAGTTTAGCTAGTCTTGCCTTAAGTTTCAAATTCACTTTGAATTCACTTTGAATTCTCACTCCAGTAAATAAAACTGAGATTGTCAAAATCCATGTCATATTAAATCAATGTGAATATACATGCTAAACAAACAAATAAACAATATACAGTATACCCATTGGGAGCTACTTACAAGCAGACTCAGGGACATTTTTGCTTTTCGTTGAATTCATTTTCTAATACTGTAGATCCCAATGTGACCCAGTTCTGCCGCCAAGAATCTGACCTAATACATTGTAATAAGCCAATAGCACAAGAAATATGTTAAACCACTCTGATCTGAAAGCAACAAACAACAGTGTTCTATGAACCCCAAAGGTAAATTGCTAAATAACAGTTTGATCTCTTTAATTATAATGAATGATCATGTTAAAGAGCAAATGGAAATATTGATCATGAATCCTGCCTGTTGAGATGCAAATAATTGAAAACAATTCCTATGGTCTGCACAGTGCCCTGGACATAATATGCTTTAAACTGTAACCAATGCCAAGTTTTCTAAAATCCCTTTTAAATTTAAGCACATGCAAAATAAACTATATTCAAAATAATAATAGTAATAATAATAATAGTAATAATAATATCAGTACTGGGGAAGCTTTATAGTTGTATTTAAAAGGTTATTACATTTCTATGATTTAATTGGTATAATGTAATTAATATATGGATAATTTGTCACAATACTGTGTTTGTCATGGATGATATCTATAGTCACCAAAGACAAACCTCTAGTAATACTAACAAGGTATCATAATGTATAATTGAGCAGTGCTCATATAGGATATATATATATATATATATATATATATATAGGATATATAGGCTATATAGGATAAACTATTATCTGCTAAATTGGATTTGTCACTTTCAGGTGTCTTTGCATATTTTTTCAAAGACCCTTGAAAGTGACATCTCTGCTTAGAGTTCGATAGCCACAGAGTGCAGTGGAAGGTAGGTATACTTACCTGAAGCTGTCCCTTGTGGCCACCACTATCCATGTGCCATGTACCATGTGCCAGGAGCCGCTTCAGTGCTGTACTCTCACACATGTGCCAGAGTGCAACATTGAGATCTATAGAGGATCTCACAAGCCCTCAAGAGACTCCATAAATCACCCCTCACAGTCAGTGAGACGATGCCTAAATCCTACAGCCATTACTTGCAATAGCTGCTGGGATGGGAGAAAAGTTGAGAGGGATGCTCCACCTTTTGTCAAGTTTTGTCAAACTCAGGCTTTAACAGAAAACAAAGTAATCCCTGTAATATAAAAATATAGATTCTTTTTAACTCTTTTCCCCTTTTCCCACAAGTTTTTTTTTTTTAACCTTTTTCTCAATTTATCTGTAAACAAAATAGCAGGAAAATACTCCTATCGGTGTACTACAAAATATATTTATAATTTTAATAATTAATAATATTTTGTAATACAATGATTGGCTCATTTTAATGCCCTTTTGGTTCGTGTGATTTATTTCCTGAATCATTTTTTTCGTTACCAAAATTCTGACAAGCCAAACAGCCATGTGGCCGAAATTCGACCATCCCGAAAAAATGTTATTTGAGGAATACATTCTTTGGCTAAAATGTATTTTCTTACTGTGCACAAGCCTAGTACTGAGTGAAATCTACAGTTTAGCTATAATGACAGCTTGGTAAATACAGCATTTTTATTAAGCTTGATGAAAAATGCACATGCATCCCTTCACAGATTTGGTGTCAAGTAGATGAAAGATTATGGCATTACAAGGCACTTTATTATTGTCAATTAATTATAGATCAACAACATAATTAGCTGCATTGAACACTTTGTGGTAAATACTGAAATAAGATGTGATAATGTCTGACAGTGGAGAATTTCGTGCCGGAAGCATGAGAAAATTAGCTAACATGTGGAATGCACATACAGAATACCACCGAGGATTCCACTAGAGTTCAACTGATTTACATTTTAATCCTTTACAGTACTTGCAGAATTATTCACCCCTCTACATATTTTGTAGTGTTACAGCATGAAATTAAAATGAGGTTTGCTGGGATTTTTTTTAATTTGGTTTGAAGATGCTAAATATTTTTATTGCTTCACAGAGGGTTGCATATGTATTCACCCAATTTGATCAAACTCTTACAGGTTTGGAGCAACCAATTGTCTTCAGAAGTCACATCATTATTTGAACGGAGCCTACCTGTCTGCAGGTGTCACGATGTTGTGTATGAATTTTAGAATGTCCAGAAAGATATTGCAATACACCATTGTTTTGAATATCCATCATTGGAGTACTCGACACTAAGATATTTTTAGTGATAGTTTTTTTTTTACTAATTATTTATTGATACTGTTGTCTAACTTTATATACAGACCTTTGTATATACACTAAGTGGCATTATGTTATCCATATCCACCAAATTAGTATTTTTCACATTGTGCTGGCTGGGGTAAAAGTCTACTAAACTGTTAATTGTTAAGGATGGTGTTATATAGGATTAAGATTAGTTAGGGTTAGCTAGTGTAAGGGTTAGCAAGGGTTTCTGTCAGAGTAAACTAGAGTTAAGGTTAGCTAGTGTTAGGGTTAGATGTGGTTAGTTATGGTTAGTGTTAAATTGGGCATGAATCGGGCACTGCACCTATGTAACATCTGTTTTACACTGCTTCTGGTGATATGTACATAACTTTTGTTTAAAGTGCTTATTAACATGGGGGGGGAACTAGTCTTTCCATTAAAATGTCCAAGGTTATTGTGTAATGTGATAAGAACAAAGGACCCCTGGGGAAATTTAGCTCAACCTAATTTACAT